TTTTTTGTAGAGGCTGTGGTGTGAAAGCCTTGTCTCTATCACTCCATGAAACCCTGCCCTGGGTTCCATAGAACCCTGCATCCCATGCTTTGAAACCCTGACAAAAATCAATTTGGTTTTTTGCTTCTTCTTAATACTGAACAAGGTGAAAAGCACTTTCAAACAAATGTCAGTCTTTCTTCTTTCAGTTGGTGCTTTTCTAGATTTTTCTAAGGGGAAAAATTTACAGCAAGGTGGTATTTTGTCTCCCTGATCCGACAGTGTTTCAATGAGAACACTACAGACAGAAACTCAGGACTGCACTGGGATTCCACATGCCCTCTGAAAGCAGCAAATTCACTTCTGAGGAGATTTCACTAGAATATTGTTCATCATAAAGGAAAGAATTTCAAAATTCAGAGGAAAAATTATTACAAGATTTGTCAGGATTTTAATGATTCAGACCATAAGTTATTTGCGATAAAATAAACCTATATTGGATGGATGTACTTTGGACTCAGGATTTGGAAAGTATATTGTTCTAGCAGGGAATTGTACAAGATAAATAACTAAAAGCTGTGTGACTTCTGCTGAAGGAAAATCTAAACCAAATAAATCTAAATATAGAGCTGTCTGCCAGCAGCTATTCAGGTGCAAAGATCTGGATTTTTCTATTGTTATTCCTTAACATGCACAAAACATGAGATGTGTTGAGGTTCAATAAGCCTCACAGGGGAGTATGGGTTTTGTACTGGTCTTATACACAATGTAGCTTCATCCAGCAAAAATCAGGTACAGAAGGGACAGAACTGTAAGACAGGAAAAGACATCACCGAACACCAAAAAAATTCAAGATTTTGTCTAAATTGGGGTGTAAAATGTATTCTTAATGAGTTTCATTTTGAAAATATAACTTGAAAAACTTGGAAAAGCTCAAAAATCTAGATAACTATAAAACTTGAAAACTATTACATTACAGTTACTCCTTTCTGAATTTCACTTTAAATGGCCTGTGTTCCTATGGTGGAGCATCATGTATTCAGGGAGTGCAAGATTAGGGTCTCTAGGAAAGCCTGGTGGACTTCACATGCAGGAAACCTAGACAGCTGTTAGATGGTGCATGGGATTAATGACGAGAGTGCAATTTGTATGATAGGATAATTTGGTTTTAGGTGAGCATATTTCCTTTCTTTAAGCTCAGAAAGGAAGACAAAGAACTAGAGAAACATGTAGGTAGGTGTTTAGTGAAAAACATTAAAACTGCTTTTTATGGCTGTCAGCACATCATTCTCATCTGCACATTGCTATATAGCAGTTTAGCTGTTCTTAAATATAATATAAACATATTGTATAAGAAGATTTTGATCAGGTTTGATTTACATTTGCAAGGATCTACAAGAAACTTTGTGGAAAACACAATAATGGAGACATGAAAAAGGATGTTGTTTCTGGTACATGATAGATGGAGAACAAACTTTATGAGAAAAAGAATTCTTCAGATAGTCAGCATGTTCTTTCATCAAACATTATTTTCGTGGTTGCAAATCTGCCTGTACATCTGCAAATATTTTATCTATGTAGGTTTTCACATATGAAATGTTTGACATCCATATTGTTCAAACATTATTTTTTTAGAACATCAACATATATGTGGTCTGTAACAAAGCTATGCTTATATTCACATGGATATCTTGAAGCTCATGAAGGTACAATATGTTCCTGGTTATTCCAGTGGAAAAGAGTTTTTCTGGGCTGAGACTGCATTTAGTCTAGCAGCATATCTTTGAAAATAGACCCTACGAAGACCACTGTTTTTGTCACTGTGTTCCTGCTCCTTCTGTCTGCAAACCTCTGCTATAAAGAGGTCACCATATTAAGTCTTTGTCCCAGGGCAGACCAAAGTGATGGCAGAGGATATAACTGCTACATCAAAGACAAGCCTGCTCTGCCCATGTCAATGTACTCAGTGAACCGAGCATTGCTCATGTTCAGTCCTTCTGCACCACTTTCATTTTTGAAAAAACAACATATTGATTTTATTTGCTGCCAAGAAAAAATTCTGAGCACAGTAAAATAGTTGCCAGAGAACCAGAGTATTACTTTTACACTTATTGAATGACTTATTTTGCTATTGGAAAAAAAAGTAGTGTCCAAAAGTTGTCAATATTTGCCATATTTGAATCTGCAATTGTGCAAATTAGATACACCGTTTATAAGTTATTATAGGATTTAAATCCTTTTATAGAGTCTGTTTTTAAAATAATTTGGTTTAATGTATGTCATGTGACTAGATTGGAAAAAAGTAGTTATTCTGCCCATTTTAGTATTAATCAGAATCACCTGTGTATAAACTGAAAAAATGCATCCCCTGCAATGGTGAGGGTAACTGCTTTAATAGTTGTTCTCCCAATACGTGGATGAATAAAAAAAGTAGCCAAAATGATGTAACAAGAAGTGATTTTATACAGGGTTCTTTTTCTGGAGCATCTGCTCAAGGTGAAGTGAAATGTATTCTGAGTACATATAGTAATGTCTGTTGTAAACAAAGAAATTGTTTTGAGCTAATAGAAGGGGTAAAAAATTTTTACGTGGCATCTCAATGTTCAGTTTGGAATTTTTGCTATTTACAGTCAAGTTATGATGTGACTGTATTAAATTAATCACATTGACTGTTAAAAAAAATTAAGGATTAATTTGTTTTATGTAGTGTTCTATCAGTTATTGTGGTAGCTGTTAAAAATAAATAACCAGAGGCTAACAGATGTTAATGGTCCCTTTCACTACTAAAAAGAAAAATCAATATTTCTTGGATATAGAATATCTTAAAGTGTTCTTATTGCTTAAAAGTGTTTGATTTGAAAATACCCAGACAAACAAGTCTGCATTCACAAATCAAATTTGTCTTACTAGCACTTGAAAATTGTCAAATTTGATAAATATTTCTGTGCAAATTAACCATGCACTTCAAGAAAGCAGAAGACTGACATGGAACAACTTTTCTTCCAATAAGAGAAATAGATATTCAGTACCTCTTTTTTTTTTTTTTTTTTTTTTCCTTAAAATACTATTTTACATACTTTCATATATTTTTTAAGGACCACATCATCTAGGTCAAGTAAACTTTCCGTGGCTTTTATGTATTACATATAAACTTGTTGGAGACCAGTTAGATTTTAAAATGTAAATAATTAAAATTGGAAACTATTGAGTTATTGACCAATACTGCACTATTAATCAAGTTAAAAAATTCTACAATCAGGGTTCAGTGCTCTGAAGCACTGTAAAATAATAGTATTTGTGTTCAGTCATGCAAGTAGCCACAATTAAGCAGTTCACTTGACAAATGAGATAGTTCACTTTATTTTGCACTTAATTGAATTGTACATGCTTGGGCACCATTGTCTCCTTCCTTTTAGTTTTGGTTTCTAGCCATTTAAACACACACGTTTATTAAAGAAAGACCAAGTAAGCTGATGCTGGCCATTGGCTCTAGAAATGCAGATATCAGGAGCTGTGCCTTGAAATGTTTTGCAGGGTAAAAATCATTAATAACCCTCTAGAAAATTTCTTAATTTTCTTAAATAAATGATCATGAGAATGTAGGACTCTGTCACTAACTTTAAACAAATGTGAAAAGGAAAAACAAAAACCTGTAGGACTTTGATATTAAACAACTTTTACCAAACAGGAACACATAGACTTTGTTTCTTCTGATTTTATTTGAGTTAGCAATGGTATTTGCATTTCAACAGTTCTGTCTCACTTAGCTGTTGTGTATCCTTGTATATGTTTGCAGTCTGTTGTGATTAAAATTTGTAGCATATCCTTCAGTTTTGTTTGTTTGTTATGTTTGTTTTTAACAAACTGTGCTGTGAAACACCTAGATTCTGGGTTTCAGTTCAAAATCACCAAAAAGGCATTTTCAGTCTGTATAGGAGAAATGTGTTAATTAAATGCAAATATTTTCAAAAGCAGCAAGAAAACCAAAAGATAATTGTAACATGGTAGTTATGTTTTCCAACACCTCACATTGAAAGAAGATTATCTGAAAAAATCTAGATTCCTCCAAAGCAGAAGTTCTGAGTATGCATCTCCCAAGAAAGCCCCAGAGAAGCATACCCACAGTTGGCAATTACTGGGAAGACCAGATGTTCCTACCCATACGGTTTCCTGCTCATGCCAACAGAAAGCACTGATGGCATGGTGTTTCTCTTTCCCACTGCAGGCCCTACCAGTGTGGTCACTGCTCCCAGTCTTTCTCACAGCCTTCAGAGCTGAGGAATCACGTAGTTACGCACTCCAGCGACAGGCCTTTCAAGTGTGGCTACTGCGGTCGTGCCTTTGCCGGTGCCACCACACTCAACAATCACATCCGGACGCACACTGGGGAAAAGCCTTTCAAGTAAGTACTAGAAGCCAGCAGCCTTTACCAGATGAGATTAGAGAGGGAAAGGCATTGCTGCTGTTGAATAGCATCAACCAGTACATGGCATGGGTTCCCTTTGAAAGCCAAGGTTGGACCACCAGACAAAACTGTTAGTGATGTGGCTAAAATCAGAATTAAACCAGGCTCAGTTTTGGGTGCTTCGCAAGTCCCAAGCAATATTCTGTCCTCTGAGGAGAACTGGGTTGTTTTAATAAAATAACAAACTGCTGCCAGGGATCCATATCTGAAAATACACTCAAGACTGGAACAGGCTACGCTGTAGGAACGTTAAAATGAGTCTTTCATGTCTATATGCTGAGGTAGATGGGACTTCACATAAAATCTGATTTGGATCTGGTTAAATATGTGGGGGAAATATGCATCATCTTTTAGCTTCAGAATCACTGCATAGAAAAGGTAACTCTGGCTTGTGGCATAAGTTTGGTAAAATCATAAAAATAAACTGATGGTATTCAACTGCCCAAGATATATGAAAAAAAAAAAAAAAAAAGTCATCTGGTCAAGATCTTTTTATTTAAACAGACTCTGCTTATTTCTGCAGTTTCTGTTTACTGAAATTGAAGCCAAGCATGGACCTGAGTCTCAGTTATTTTCCCTCTACACTTACTCCAGCCATAGCACAGGTGGATTTTACCTTCTGCTGTGCAAGAATCTGAGTGTATGTCAGGAGGTGTTCTCAAAGGCAGAATGCCAATTTCCATATTTAGGTCTGTGTCTTTGCTGGCACAAATTGCTGTGACGGGCACAAATTTTATGGATTTCATACCTGGCACAACCCCACTTTGGAAGAAATATCTTGTATTGATATCAATGTATAATGTATTGATATTATTTCTTTTGGAAACTACCTGATGTTTCTAGCTGGAATGCAAGTAAGTGTAGAAGAAAGTCTGTGTCTCACCCAGTTCTCCAAGGACTGTCTGTCCTCTGTCTACTTTCCCCTGTTTGTCTTTCTTTTCTACTTTTACCGTACTATGCTCTCCATCTGGTTAATGTAAGAGAGATCAGCCATGGGGCCTGTCAGAACCCCTCATAACAAGCTCTGTAGAGATACCAGTAGAGATCCTTTGCCTCCATATATGGTTGAAAGGAAGCATGGCCTCCATACGTGTCTCTGCTGGGGGCAAGGGGACAGAGCCAGGAACTAAATGCTGCACATCCAACACAGAAGAACTTGCATACCAGAAATGATGACTAGGATACTGTTGTATGTCGCAAAACACAGAAACTCAGAGCATCTAAACACTGACTCCTCTAGAGCCAGTCCACTGAATACTTAGAGCCATAGAAAGTGAGCCAAAAATAGTGTGAGCAATCAGATTGATTTTATCTAGTTGCTGTGTAAATAGATTTTAGTAATTAATGGAAGAGGTTTCCAGGTCAAAATGGAAAATAGATTTCTTTTAATGTTAAGGTGTTACTTATGTGTAACCTCGTTGACTCCACTTAATTTTTTTCCTTAACATTCTGTTTTTGTCATGTTTCCAATTGATCTGCTATTTTGTCCCATTTAAAGTCATTATTTTTCCCCTTCGGTTTAGTAATTTTTTTCCCCTTTTCCAAAATGTTCTTGGCTACAGCACCCTTCCATTTATGAAAGGGCTTAAGGTATGTACGACAATTAACCAGTCATCTGGGATTTGTTTGCTTGGTTTGCCCTGATTATGCTGAAGTATTTAAGTATTCTGGCATGTTTCTGCCCATTCTTAAAGTTGCAGGGCAGAGCAACAAAAGATGTGAAAGCTTTGTACTGCTTTTTCAGTGATGCATGGACTAATTTCATTATTGTAAGATTTTAATTTAGTTTCTTCCTTAAACTCAAGAAACAGCAGTACTACTTTCTTTGTGGAAGACCTGTTGAAGTATTTCAAGCAGGCTAACTAGTAATTTCACATTAAGCTAAAACTGGAGCTGCAGATCTTCCCATCCCTGCTAGTAAGATAAGAGATACATTTGCCCTGGTCCTGCAAGCCTCTCGTTCAGGACTGCAAGCATTTGAGAGAGGAGGGACAGAAACTTATCCAGAAATTGATCCACCATCTCTGTGGGAGGAAAAAGAGATAGCTGCAGTTCCTCTTCATATCTCATCACCATTTAGATCCTTCTTTGAAAAGAAGGGGTCCAAAACCTGGTATCAAGTAAGCTTAGGAAAAAATCTCAATAAATTCTAGTGAGCAAGAACCATAAATGTGAGAAAACAGTATTTCTGACTCTTGTTCATGCAGTTAAGGTTTAAAATGTTTGTTTACTAAAGTATTTTTAGTGTACACTTAGCAAAAAAGTGCAAAATGGAAAAGTCTATTGAGATAGGGTTTCTGTACCTCTAAAAATCTATATTTGTGGTAATGTACATACTTCTAATTAATAACATTTTTATTGTTATAAAGAATGACCATGCATGGACAGTGCTAAATTATTTAATTCTAGCTAAGTTATTTTAAAAGCAAGAAGCACAATTCTAAATGCAGTACTAAGTTCATAGCTGAAAATGGACAGCCACTTAACTTGCATCTACTGTGAATGCAGTTCTGCTGTTCCTAATACAGTAAGGCAGTTATATTTGTGAGTGAAATTTGGACAAATTACACTGTACATGGATTAAGCAGGCAATGTCAGACACTAAGTGTATGTTTGTATTGTTATTATTTTCAGAAGGTGGTTTAAAAAATTATGAGCATAAGGTGACAATATTTTATAATATTTCAAAATGATTGCTATTTAAGAGGAAGTCTATGATTTGTTAAAAAACTTCTTCTGTGAAAAGGTGCTTTCTTTGTAGGTCCTAGGTAATGTTGGATGTATGGTGAAAGACTTTTCTATTTGCTTTTTGTTACAGATAACAATGCAAAGTGAGGTTATCTGTAGTCAAAGCTTCAGCTGCATTGCCTGGACTGCAGGTCCAGTTAGAAAGGATTTCTTTTCATGTCATCACAAGCTATCAAGTCAGCCTCACCACTGCAAAGTTTTTGTGTATTCTTATCTTACTGAAGTCTCCACTATGGCTGCTAGTCTGGAAGCCAAGCTCTGAATCAAATTTAAAAGGCAGGAGAAAAAAGAAAAATTATTGTCCATTTTCTAAAATTCTTCCTCCCCCTAGACTCTTTCATTTCAGCCAAATTAAATACTCAAGGGACTTGACTACAGAACCAGGGTTATGCAGACATCTAATATCCAGGAGTATACCAAAAAGAATTAATGGACAAATTCTTTCAGACTGGGACATTCCAGGTGTTTTTCATTGTTTCTTACTGAAATGCAAAATTGGGTAAAATTAGTTTTAAAAACATTTATTCTTAAGATATCAAATAGAGATTTTTTTTTTTTAAAAAATAGACCCTAAATATTTTGTTCACTCAAAGCTTTTCACAGACATTGGCATAAACTTGGGAATTAATCTAATTCTGTCTAAATCCTGAATGTCAATGTTTGAAAGAACTGTGAAGCATACAAGCAGGCCAGTGACAGTGAGGGCTACCTAACCAAACTCAGAAAACCCAGTATCTTAGAAATATTAAAAAATAATTGATGTTCATGTAGATTGTGAAATTAAGAACACTTCTCTTTGCAACCCAAACCCAGGGAAATCATATAGGGGGACCTTGTGGTAGAATCATGTCTTGTGTTTGATGAGGTTGAATGTTGTAGAACAGCATTGTTCCTTACAATTAAAATGAATGTACGCACACATCATAAATAAAAAGAAACACTGATTCAGTTTTCACTGGTGACATGGTGTGAGGATTTTTTAATTGCTTCTTCAGATCTACATTGTGTGAGGAGCTGGCCAAATTACTCTCAAATGCCATTAGGTAGCTTAAACGGAAACTAAGAGATCTCTCAGATAATAGGTGTCATTTTTGCCATTATTTATCCCTACTCCTGAGAATTAACAAAAAAATTAGGATAGGTCTTAAAGCCAGGCCCGGGCTCAGCCCCATGGTTACTTTGTGATTGGTCATGAGAGGTGGACTTGTTTTCCTTTCTGATTTGATTTGGCTACTATTCAATCTTCCAACACAACTTTAAAACTGTGTGACTTGTATAGAAGTACACACACAAAAACATGTATACGCATCGTCACCAGTCTCATAAACACAGATCACTGCAGTAATTACTCTGTTACAACAGGCTGGAAAAGGATAGTTGATAGATGGAAAGAGTACATCATAATTCAAAAGTAAAAAAATATTCCTGCCTTTCTTTCCATTCCTACCTACCATGAGATAGGTATGCTAACTATTATCTTCACTGTTCCTATCAGTTTGTGTCCAGCAATAACTTCTCTGGACCACACTGAAAAGAGGAGTCAGGGGCCTTATACAGGTTTCTTCCTGTAAGCCAGTTACTTATATATCCAAAAACTGAAGTCCTGAATACGCCATCCACACCCTTTGCAAGTGCCTAGAAAATACTAGACATCCTGGGTACTACCTGAAGGTGACCTGTGTGTATGAGAAAGCCAAGGGAATTTAGATGTCTTGTCAAAGGCTTTATTAAAAGTTTTGCCCAAGGGCTATACAGTGTAGACAGCAAAACCCAACCAGCAGTGACACTTGGCACTCACATCCCTCCTGTCCAATGGGTAGACGCTTGTGTCAGGAGATTTACTGTCTTCTGGTCTCTCTTTAGCACCCATCTTTCCTTTGTAAGAAAGTGTCCCAGAGCTGCCTGTAGCTGGGAAGTTAGACCAGTCTCATGGCATAAAATGCTTGTGGATCAAAGATGGGAACTCACACTTTAAAAAAATACAATGAGCCTTGCTCTGTGCTTTCAAGAGCAATGCCAGGTGACGAGTGAAGGTGGTGCTCAGCTCTAACTTCCCAGGCAAGCTGCAGAAAGGGAAAGGAGGTCTGCCAGAGCTTCATGGCCAGCGGTTTTAATGTGTAACTCTGTCTTTTTATCACTTTCTTTTATTCACATATGGTCCCTAGGCATCCTGATAAAGTATTTATTTATTTGAACAGACACTTAGAAGTCAGGTGTTGCCACACCTTATTTTGTAGGTTATTTTGCAACTGCACTGCTTCCAGCTTGGTTGGTCAAGGATTCAAGCCTCCTGTTACTCAGCAAGCGAAGCACTCGTCTTTGTAAACATGAAAATAACAAAACTATCAAGTTCAAATAGATGGCAATGTCTCATACAGACTAAGTTAACCCCCCACTCTTAAAATTGATTCTAATGCCTCTGTGATAGATAGATATGTATGTATATAAAAATAATACAATAATTTGCAAGTTTGTCAGGCAATGAAAAGTAGTATATTTTGACACACTAATCCAGTAACTAATCAGTTTTCTAATAAACAATCAGCAGTACACTAATGTGTCATCAGCACTTCAGAAGCTCTGGAGAGTGGATGATCTGCACATAGACATTAATGAATAACCCCAAAATCATTAAGCGATCAATACTTCTGAGTTATTTTCATTGAGCTGATAGCTCTGATACATTAAAGCTGACATTTTACATTTGTCAAGATCACAGTGCAGTTTTTAACAGTGGAACAGGCTGCTAAAAATATTCCATGAAAGACAATCAAAGAAACACAACTTAGAACTGTTGACATTTTAGATTGGTACAGTAGCTTGAATGAATTACTCTCTGTCTGTGCTAAATGTTCTTAAAGCACTTCTTACTAAAAATTACTAATGTGAAGAAGATCTCACAGTTATGCATATGTGTAAATATCTTTCTTTTCTCTCTCTTTTTAATTTTTTTTTGTAAGCAGCTAGGTCAGTGACAATTCACTTTCTATCATTCACATCACTGAAGACAGAAAGCTGAATATGAATTAGCTGAGCCCTTTGTTTTCCTCACTTCTCCTTTGAAGGTGAAGAATTCATCACAGTGATGCTTTTATGATAATCTTCTTTGAAGATAAAACATCACACAGCACCATTAAATCAAAGGTGGCTTTTGGAGTGAAGGCTGTACAAGAAGGATCTGCTGCATCTGTATTTGTGACTCATCAAACACCTCAATTTAGTGTTCAGAATGCAAATTAAGAGGGCAGTAGTTAGGAGATAAAATACAACAGATTATCTTTCAGGACAGGGATTGGAAATTCATTCCAAGCTAGAAATAAACCCCTTCCTATTCTCTCCAAAATTCAATGGCTTTGTTCATTTGTTCACACATGTTAGAGATGATAGGTCTCTAAAGAGAGGACAGGGCAAAAAGGGAGATGACATAAATGACAATGAAGCAAACACTGGTGACTTTTGAGTACCTGTGCAGCCCATACATTTCTCAAATAGTGTGGACATTCTCAGATAATTAAGTAACCATTAACTTGGTGTGTCTATTTAAAATGAACCATGTTGCATAGTCAGACCAGATAAACAGAGTTTTCTCTTGCTCTAGCACTGAACGATTATTGCTTTGTGATTTCTCTTCCTCCAATAGGCAATAGTGGATTTTAAATTAGCAGAAGGTGAAATTCTATTTGTCATCAATTTCTCCTAGAGGTTACAGAGCAGAAAACTGCAGACAAGCTGCTTCTTTGATGGCTCACTCCTAAAAATCTCTTTTTGTTCTTTATCTATTTGAACTGACAGTGATCAGAGTTACAGCAGGACAGGCCTCTCTGGAGAAATCGCCTTCCCCCTGTCTATTGACAGATTCCACTGTTCTGAATCAGACAGGCCTTGTCCCATCATAGGCATCAAGGCCTTGGAAGTAGCCACCAATTAAACCTCTTGAGCCAGTAAAATCTGAAGCCACTTTTGAGTGTCTGTTCTGATTAGGCAGGATGAGACAAAGCCCATTACCCCCCCCAGAGCAGCTCCCTGGTCTCAATTTTCTCTCTTGCCTTCACCAGGTGTGAGAGGTGTGAGAGGAGCTTCACACAAGCCACCCAGCTGAGTCGACACCAGCGGATGCCCAATGAGTGCAAGCCAATAACAGAAAGCACAGAATCAATTGAAGTGGATTAACTGATTGACTGGTTGGAATTAAACTGCAAGGAAAGTCATGATTAAATGTCACGGACACTTAAGCAAAACCAAAGATTTCCTCTGAGCAACTTTCAATCAGTCCCAGAAAACCAAGAGCAGTAATAAAATAAGTAAGATGTTAAGAGATATTGATCCTGGCGTGGAAGTGAGACCAGGAAAGAGATTATTTATTTATGACTAGGGATGAGTCTTATTTCAATTGACAAGTTACTTGGGACTGTTAACATTTCAAGTCCCTCCATGTATTGCTTTAATTCTAAAAGCCTTTATAATTGTTATTTAATGCCAAAGTGTGAAATCTCAAGGGTTCTTCTGCCCATAGTTATGACTGAGAATGCACATGGACTTGTTTATTGTTGCACCTTTTTTTGTAGCATGACTCAAAGTGCCCAGATGTAAACCATACATATGGCTGGGCTGGGCTAAGTTGATCTTGACATGGCTATACTAGAAATTGCTGTGTGGAATGGGAGGTGATCAAGAGCTATATCTGGGTCAGTGTCAGCCTCCTCAGACCAAAGCGCACTTCATTTCCATAGTCTCATGCCTCACGCTGTGCACACTTTTTCATGCAAGTAGTTTCATTCAACAGCATTGCATTGGCATAGATAATCTGGAACAAAAATAAGGAGAAAAAAAAAAAAAAAAAAAGAAAAAAAAAGGACTGTTGTATATCTGCAAATATACTTTATATAAAGAAGTCAGTAGGAGAACTATCCTAAATAGAGCTCTCAAATTCAGTGTAATAGCTATGAAAGACAGAGATTGTAGAAAGTATTTTAAACATTTAAGATTCCAGTCTATGTGTAAGTTGTGTAATGAGGAGCAAAAATTCAAGATTATGGTTTTTATTTGGGTGACTGATTTAATGGCTTGCTGATTTCTAAGAAAAATGATCACAAGTCTAAGCTATATCCATTGATATTTTTATTCTGTTGGTTTGGACCAAATAGAAAATTCTACTGTATTAGATGGAACTTTCAACATACTTGATCTGAGCTTCAAAACAGAAGCTAAATCTGAATTCAGATACTTTGTAAATGGCTTGGAGGCTTCATAGTATTAACTTCACAGAAATTAGCCTGGTACAGTCATGAATTAAAGGAAGCCAAAATACTCCCAACATCAATGTAAAAGTCTCAAATGTCATTACATTTGTTCAATGTAGCAATTTCCATATTGGCTTTTTTCAAGCTTTTAACCTTGATGTATTTCAAATTTAATGATTTTGTCTAATCAAAGAATGATTTTCACTTTCAGAGACCAGTGGTGTTTGTTTATATATTGATTTTCTCAATGTTAGAGCTGTAGTTTGATAAAAATGTAAAAACAAAAAAAAACCACACACACATGAAAACATACAAAAAAAAACAAAACAAAAAACCTACAAAAAACCACAAAAAAAGAACCACAAAACAACTAAACCAAAACAAAAAAAAATGCAAAACACAACAACTACCATCAACAAGAAGCAAAACCTAAACAGTTCTGAGGTCATGCTATATCATAAGGTAAAACTGCAAAATATCTTTGTGGAGATTATGGGGATTAAAACAGATTCATTCAGTTTTGCACCAAAACTGAAGCACTGAGTGGCTCATAAGGGCTCAGTTGATTATATTAAATACTTTAAAAACATATATGGGGATGATTTTAAATATGTAGAGAATTAAGTATCCAATTCTGTGAAGGGCTAGACAGAATCAGCTACCAATTTAATAACAAGTTCAGACCAAATACAAATTCTGCAAAGAGCTCAAGCAGCAGAAGAGCATACAATAAAATTCAAATACATTTAAAAGGAATTTATATCTAAGACATTCTTTGGGATGTTGGTTCCTTATGTTGCAGAAACTACACTGCCAATAAAAATGTAAATCATTGTGGAAAAAAATGATTTTTTTTCTCATTGTTCTAGAAAGTACCAGATTATCTCACAAAGAAGCTTCAACCCTGTGAATTTTTCAGCTCTGCTTCTCAGTGCAGAGAAATGGGGATTGAGCAGTTCTGTTACCACTTGCCTGATTTTATCCTCTAAACTATGACAGAGATTCCTAGCTACTATATAAATGTGTTTGTTTGTTTTTTAAATTCAGAGAAACATGGGAAGCTTTGCAGGAACAACTGGAACAGAAGAAAACCCAAAATCTGATTCTAAACTTTAGAGATCCTCATGCCTAATGGTTCACACCTTCCCTCATTTAAGAGGCTTAATGAAAAGTAACATTTTTGTGGGGTACCAGCTTTTAGTTAACTTTTGAACTGCAGATGTAGATAATTTCTGCAAGAAAAAAAAAAAAAAAAGAAACACAAAAAAACCCCAAATCCAAAAGCCCAGGACATTATAAATAGAATAAGTGGGAAAAGGGTTATGTTATGCTCTGAAAAGCAAATGTGAACTGTTGGATCACTGAGTTCTGCAGCTGCATTATCTAGCTGGGCTCCCCTGGTCAGGGATATGGTTAGCGGTAGTGCAGAGCAGTCAGTCTCTCGCAGAAAGGGATTTATATTTGAATCTTGTAAAGCAAATGGCACCTAAGAGTGTGCTTACAAGTATTTCAAGTTCCCTGCTGGATATAGATAGGCTTACTCATATGTTTTCAATTAAATGTCTAAATACTCTCATGAATAGGTATGAAGTACAGATCAATTCTTTCAAGATTTTACTGGATTTTAAAAAAAATGCACCAGAGTAGGATTTCTGCAGAACTCCTTTTTTTTCCAAAGAATTCTTTCTCATGTAAATCACTATGCTGTTCCAGATGCCCAAGCACAATTTCAGTTATTATATATTTTATATTTTTTTATTATTTTGCACTTTCACAACAGATTTGGCAGCATGCAAAGCAATTCAGAAAAAACCTGTGATTTTATAGTGGGTTTTCTTTAAGTACAACATTTGACATTCTGTTACAATATTGCAAATGTAAAATCAACATGGACAAGCTAAAATATATCCTAAGTTTAAACTGAATGGAATCTAGTTCCTGTCTGCACTTCCCAAATGCTGAGTGAGTTTCTGTTCATATATTGACAGAACAACCATACACTTACATCTGTTATGAATACAGTAGGTGCACATGGTAAGCTGAAGCGGTAAGTGTAGTACAATTGTATTTAAATGTCGTGTTTATGTGCCTGCCATTTCAGAATTTCTGAAACACTTGGCATCTCTGTTTTGTAGTCTGGTAAATAAATAAAAATTTGTTTGGTTGGTTTGTTGTTTTTATTTTTTGTTTGTTTATTTGGGTTTTTGTCCAACCCTGAACATGTTGGAAGTCATATTTAAAAGTTGTGCCTAGTTCTGATTTTTTTTTTTTTTTTTTAAATTATGGAATTATATGTTATACATTCACAGAGTTATTCCTTCCAGAAAGATGTTTGGTCCTTTATGAACCTGCAGTTATAGACCCAAATATTTTCTTTTAAAATACAATTTTATTGTCTTCCCATGACAGAAAGCTGAGTTGGGAAAAATATAGTAATTACAGCACATTACTTATTAGAAACTTACAAGAAATTACGTGTATATCTTTTTGTTTTGGTAACATCATCTCTCCTTTTATTTACTATTTATTATTTGTGTGGTGCCATTATGTTATGTTACTCTTTCTTTAGCTGACAAAATTATATGATTTCAGATTGATAAACAAGTGAAAATCCAAAAGCAATTCTTCATTGCTTTTGAAAGTCATCAATTACTGTGAATATACATGTATATTTTTAATTACTATTAGAGCACTTTTCCGTCCTTTTGCTGGATAAGAATCCAGAAAATAAAATATTCGGACACAGCATGAAGTTGTTTTTTTTTGTTTGTTTGGTTTTTTTGCTTTTTTTAATATCTTGTCTAGATTTTACAAGTTTTTACATCATCAGGCCGATCTGAAAAAGTACATAAAGCCACCCGATAGATATAGATTATGCAGAAGGGTTCCTCTGTTGTAATAAAAATAATAATGACACTGTAGTTAGAAAGGTAAACAGCTTGCTTGCATTTTTTAAACCTCATGAAATTGCATATTTTTTACTGCAAAAGACCAATAAATCATGCATGTAGCTGTATTCTTGTGATATCAACTGTAAAGACTACATAGTGTTTAAATGAAAATATCAGGCACACATTTAAAAAGAAGATGAAGAAATGTAAATATATTAGATTAATAAAACATTTCTATTACCGTATGGTAAGCCTTTGTTTTATGTTACGATTATGTAAGGAATTTTGTGCATGCTATGCAGAAAACCAAATATGTTTAAATGTTTGTGCATCGAAGGCTCAAATAATCAGTGTCTTACAGTAGTTTTCATGAGCTGCCAAAAGGGGTTTGAGGCTTGAACGTGGCAAACTGTTTTGCAGTGCAAAGAGAGTGAGATCAAGTTCAGTTTTCTCAGTGACTGGATATCAATAGTCCAGTGCAGTCACATGCTGAAGCAATTTCTCATCCATCTTTCTGAAATTTGTTTGTATAGGTTTATGATACAAATCATGTCATACTGTAACGCAGATTTTCTATTATGAATATTAGAGCTTGAGGCTTTTTTTCAAGGGTGACAGACCAAGTCTTGTTTAGTTACCTGAAGCCTGATTTACAAGGATCACCATCTAGTGGACTAAGACAGAATTTCAAAACTCGAGTTGTCTCATTCTAAAACCAAAGCTAAAAGCACTAACCATGCTCCACTGAAAGGGATTTTCAATGCCTTTTTTTAGTATTATTTCACTGCCATTGTTTATGTCAAAGAGCAGTGATTAGTTCACTAAGTCACCCCTTGTTTCAGTTGGAAAAAACCCACTTGAGTATGAGAACAATATGTCAGTTTCTGTCATTTTTAATGTTGTATGACCTTTTGCATAAGCACCAGAACCACCACGGTAGAATAGTTGTGCAAAACTACTGTACTTGAGAAAATATTCAGGTAAATTGGCCAGCAGACTGCCTGCTGATTTGCAAGTAGCAGGGATAGTCAATCACTCG